CCCTTGGGGGTGCTGAAACCCACGGCCCGCTCGAGACATCCTCGGAATCTGCTCCGCCAGCATCATCATCATCATCATCATCATCATCATCATCATCATCATCATCATCATCATCATCAGCATCAGCATCAGCATCAGCATCAGCATCAGCATCAACATCATCATCTGCATCAACATCAGCATCAGCATCAGCATCAGCATCATCATCATCATCATCATCATCATCATCATCATCATCGTCAACATCGTCATCATCAGCATCATCATGGTCATCTTCATCGTCATCGTCATCATCATCGTCATCACCAGCATCATTATCAGTATCATAATCATCGTCAGCATACTCATCATCATCATCATCATCATCATCATCATCATCGTCATCATCGTCATCATCGTCATCACCATCACCGTCAACCTGACCATCACCATCACCATCACCATCACCATCACCATCATCATCATAATCATCATTATCGTCGGCATCAACATCATCAATCTTGTCATCATCATGACCACCACCATAATCATCAGCAGCCTCACCATCATCATCATCAGCATCATCATCACAACCAACATCAACATCGCCATCAGCATCACCAACACCACATAGCATAGCGTAACATAAATTACCATACCATATCATACCATAACGTATTATCACATATCACAGCATCACATATCATAACATCACATGTCATATCAATACCTAACATGCCGTCACATGGCACAACACGTGAGTGTGACTCTAGGTTGGGAAGGGTCGGAGGAGGGAGGTGAACGAGTGGGCGGTTCCGCCTCGGCGCGGTCTGAGCAATAACAGAAAACCGTATATGGGATATGGGAACAAGAATCCCATCCTTTGGCATTATTGGGGGGAAACGATACTTCTGGTCTCCTTTTTCAATGGATCATTGCGTTGGAGATGTACGGGAACTTGCCTTGGGAACATTCGGCGGCGCGTTGCAAACCTGGGGGTGCCCCCCCCCAACACTGGGCGCCGTCGATCAAAACCAGGGGGACTCCCCTCCCCCCCCAAACCCCCTCCCTCCCGACCCCCCCCCTTCCCAGGGGGGGGACGGGGGGTTCAACCCCCCCCCCCCTCCCCTTCCCCTCTCGGCGCCGCTGGCGGCCGCCAGCAGCGCCCACGGCGGGGACGCAGCGACGATGACCACAGGAAGCTCAGCGGGGGGATGGGTTTCACCCCCCCCCCTGGCGCCGAAGGGGGGGCGGTTCGGCCCACCACCCCTGCAGCGGCCGGCGGCGCTGGCGCTGGCGCCGGCGACGGCGGGGACGCAGCGACGATTACCACCACTACCACCACCACTACCACTACCACCACAACCACCGCCTCAAACCACCACCACCACCGCCGGCAGCACCATACAACCACCACCACCACACCCACCACCACCACAACAACCACCACCACAGCTCATCATCACCACCACCGCCATAAAAACCCACCACCACTACCACCACCACCGCCACAATCTACCACACCACCGCCACCGCCACAACCACTACCAGCAGTACACCGCCACCACCACAACAAACGTCCACAAATCACCGCCACCACCACAACCCACCACCACCACAAATAACCACCACACCACCACCACACCACCACAACCACCACCACCACCACCACCACCACCACCACAACTCACCACCACCACCACTACAAAAAAAACACCACCACTACCACCACCACCACCACAATCTACCACACCACCACCACCACCACCACAACCACAACCACCACCACTACCAGCAGCACAACCCACCGCCGCCACCACAAACCACCACACCACCACCACCGCCACCACCACAAGCACCACCTCCACAAGCCACCGCCACAACCACAAGCCACCACCAACACCACCACAAACCACCACCACACAACCACCAAACCACCACCACTACCACAACCACCACCATCACCACAAACCACCACCACAAACCACCACCACCACACCACCACTAAACCACCACCACCACCCACCGCCACAACCACCACCACCACAACAAACCACCACACCACAACCACCACAACCACCACCATTGCCACCACCACCACCACCACCACAACCCACCACCACCACCCTCACCGTCGTCCTCGTCAACGCTCCCCACCACCGCCGCCCGCCGCCGCAAGCGCCGGCCGGCGCCAGTTTAGAAATGGAAATCGTCGTCCCCGCCGCCGTCGCCAGCCGTCGCCGACGCAAGCGCCGGCCCGAGGAGAAGGGAAGCACGGGGGGGGTCGAACCCCCCCCCCTCCGTCACGGGACGGGTCACGGGAAGGGGGGGGGTTCGAACCCCCCCCCTGTCCATCCAGGGGGAAGGGGGTCTGGTTCCAAACACCCCCCCTCCAAGCGACCACAGAACGTGCTCTTTCAAACGTATACATCGATTATTCCCCACCCCTCCTGTTCTGGGTTCTCGTTTTGAATGGAATCGCCACCTTCTCCTCCAGCCACGTTCCTCTTCTGTTCCCCCCTCTTGCCTGGTTGATGCCCTACCGTTTGCTTGCTTTGTCTGCCCTGCCCCCCGCTTGCCTCCGACCCTATTTCCTCGCCGTCCCTGGGGGGCTGCGAACTCCGAAACCGCCGCCGCTTTCTATGGCTATTGTGGGGCCGGAAGCGTAACGTCACGCCCGAACGGCGGAACAGTCGCCGCTTTCGACTGTTGCCGGGTAGCCCCGCGGAACGGCGCCCAACGCGCACCAAAATTAAACCTCGCCGTCTCTGGGGGGCTGCGATCTGCGAAAGTGTCGCCGCCTTCGAAAACTGCTAGGAGGCCCAGCGGTTCGACGCCCCACGCGGACCCAAAATGCACCCTTCCGTCCCCGAGGGGCTGCGATCTGGAATAAAAGCGTTCCTTCCAGGGCTGCTGGGTGGTCCAGCGGAACGACGTCCTACGCGAACCAAAATCAAACCTCACTGTCGCTGGGGAACTTCGAACTGCGAGGCGGTCGCCCCTTTCGAAAGCTGTTGGGTTGTACAGAGGGGTGGCGCCAAACGCGGGTCCAAAATAGTTTTTGCCATCTCTGCGCGGCTGGCTGTAATTTGCCAAACTGTCGCCACGGTCAAGGGTTACGGGGGGGTCACGCGGACCGACGCCCCACGCGGACCTCAAGAAAACCTCGCCATCGCTGGGGGGCTGCAATAAGCCCAAATACCACCACTACTTTCAAAAGGTGCGGGAGGGCCCAGCAGCGAGGAGCCCCACACGGACCCACACTAAAGCTCGCCATCCGTGGGGCGCTGCGCTCTGCGAAACTGTTGCCGCTTTCGAATGCTGCTGGTAGGCCCCGCGGGGCGACGCCCGACGCGGACCAAAATTACACCTCGCCGTCTTCGGGGGGCTGCGATATGCGAAACTGTCGCCCCTTTTTTCGAAAGCTGGTGGGAGGCCCAGGGGGTGATGTCCCACGCGACCCTTTGACCTCGCCAGCTCTGCGGGCCGCAATCTGCAAAATTGTCACGCATTTCAAGGGCCGCTAGGGGGCCACGGTAGAAGGTACCAGGCGCAGACTCAAGGTAGACCTCGCCATCCTTAGGGGCTGCATGCCGTAGAAACTGTCGCCACGTGCGAGGGATGCTGAAGAAGGTAGCGTAGCGGGTACCCGGGGCAAACTCAAATTTGACCTCGCCTGCCCTGGGGACTGCGACCTGGAAACCTGTCATCTCTTTCGAAGGCTGTTGGCGGGGCCAGCATACTGGGTGTGAGGCGCAAGCTCAGACTAGACCTCGCCAGCCCTGGGGGGGTGCGATCTGCGCAACCCCCCAGGGCTGCGAGCGCGAGGACGAGGTGGAGGCAGCGTGCGGCACGAAGCTAGCGGAGCTTGATCGCAACATTGACGCTGCGAGCGCGGCGGGCCTCGTTTTCATCGGGACGCAGAGTTCAAGGCCGTTCGACTTCCGCGAGCATGAGGTCACGCGCGCCGGCGCGGCCATCTCCCATGCCGATGTGCTGACGCCCACGGCCTGCCAAGGCCAAACCATGCACCGCGGAGTCCTTGTCGACGCCGGTTACAAGGACGAGAAGAGAATGGACGACCCCTGGCTACATCTCCACGCGGTGCTGTCCATAGCGACGACGGTGGACAACCTGATGATGTACGACCGTGGCCATGATGTCTTTGCCCGCGGGCCAGCCGCAAAACCTGGCGGCGAGCACGCGGGCGTTGAGCATCCGCGCTGGAAGTGCAAGAAGGAGGCGGAGAAGCAGGCGGGCGAGCTAGGCCTCGCTTGCTTCTTCCACGAGCTAGAAAGCATGCATGCGTGATTTTGTAAAACGCCAGGGCGACACTGCGCGGGCCGCGCTGCATGTCCAGCGCGCCACTGGACACAAAATCACGTCCTTTTCTTACCACCTCCTTCGTTGTCGTTCTGCTTCTCCTTCCGCCGTCCCCCTTTTTGCTGCCGCGCGGATGTTTCGGTTCCCCCCGCGTCCTTCTCCTGCTTCCCGTTCCCATCTCCACCTTCTCGTCGAGCCTCGGGCCTCAGTCTTCCTCCGTCTGCTGCTGCCCACGGAGATTCTCAACGCGCGCGCGCTTCCCGTGTGCTCGCACTTGACGGCGCCTACACTGTCACTGTTGCCCATCCAAGATCGGGCGCCTTGCTAACTCAAATGGTCATTTGCTGGACATGGGTCGGGTGCGTCACCGGGAACATCTGCAGTTCGTGGATGTTGCAAAGCTGTGCGCCAAGATTCCTTGTGTGGGGGTGAATATGTTGTTGTTTCCTAGTGAGCGCATTAAGAGTAACATCCTCCCGTTCGGATTTGCAATATAATCTCATGTGTGGGAGATGCACAAGCTGACTTCGGTTGTAGAACATTGACACGTTGATTTCAACTGTGCGGGCATCTGGAACGAATTGCAGAGCAACGCGCCACGCAAAACACCACCGAACAACGGAGCAAACCACGCGGAACAACACGGGAACGTCCCGATGCCGAGTCGCTCGCTGGGGTGGCGCGGGGGGCAGCCCCGCCTGCCGGCCAGACGCGGCGTCCTCGAGCGCCCGTTCCATCAGGCCATCTAGCACCCGGCACACGCGCTCCAGCTCCGCGTCGGCGGCGCCGACCCCGAGCCAGTCGCGCACCTTCCTCGTCGCCGTCGTTGTCGCCGTGGTCGTGGTCGTGGTCGTCGTGGTCCTCCCCCTCCTCGGAGGGCGTCGAGGGAGCTCGTCGCCGTGGTCGTCGCCGTCGCCGTCGTCGTCGTCTTCGTCGTCGTCGTCGTCGGCGGCGGCGGCGGCGTCGGCGTCGGCGTCGGCGTCGACGTCGTCGGGTCGGGAGGGCGAGGCTTCGAGGGCCGAGGTTCTGGGGTACGGGGGCGTCTCTGGCCCCTGAAAGGGCCTCCAGAGGCTCGTGGGGTCTCCAGGGGCCTCGGCAGACCTCCGGAGCGTCCCAATTCCTCCCAACCAGTGACACCAACAAGACAGTAGGGGTCAGGATTTCCAGTCTGGCTTGGACCTCTCCTGCGCAAGCTGATCGCCCTCGTCCTTCTCCGCCCCTCCCTCCCGCCATCCCCCTCGTATTTCGTGTTGCTTCCGAGGCAAGCCAGTTGTCGTCTCAAATATCACCAGGTGGAACAGAGAAGGGATCCCAATGAACTCTGGCAACTGGCTTTTACCGTAAATCGATTGCACGGGATCCTAGACAACGCCTGTCGACTCTGCGCCCGCTTAATCCGCCGACCCCCGCTTGCAGGGGGGTGAACAGCCGTGTGAGATGATTGGCTGTCCCCCTCCCTTGGGGTCCAAGGCCCGATTCTCGGGGGGTCCCTACGAGCTCGCCAGCGCCTTCGCAAGGCCTCCCGAGCCTCCAAAAAATAGAAGGACTGCTCAAAAGGCCCCGACTTCAAGGTGGGCCACCAGGCCCCCAAGGCGGCCCAAAAGTGTTCCAACAGGACCGCCGTGAAGGTCCTCAGAGGGACAAATCGTCCCATCCCCGAGTAAAGCGTACATTTTAGCACACTCGATGTTTTCCGTCTTCGCAGCTTCTAAGACTGCCCGAGAGACTCCAAAGGACCATCAGAAGATGGCCGATGAGACCCCCGAGAGGGCCCCAAGACGGCCCAAGAGGGCCTTGAGACGGCCCAGGGGCCCGCAAGGCGGCCCAAGAGAGCCCCAAGAGGGGGAATGCGGACTGACATGTCGGGCATTTCCCCCCAAGATGGCCCACAGATCCCCCCAGAGGCCCCCAGGGAGCCCAAAGAGGCCTCCAAAACACCGCGAAGGAACCCGCAAGAGGCACACAAGAGGCCACCAAAAAACTTCCACAAGCACCCAAGAGCCCTCCAAGAGGCCCCTGAAAGGCATCCCAAGAGACCCTCATATTCATCCAAGAGGCTCTTGGCCCATAGCCTGGGCAGGGGGACGGCTTGGGCCGAATGCCACTGGATAACTCCCACGATCATCGCAAGCTCTGACTCCTTCTGGGGGTCGGGGGAATGGCGTAAACCACTCGACTACTGTAAACCTTCTGTCCCGTCGGATCGCTCCAATGCCTCACCGCGGATGGAGTTGTCCTCAACGTTCGGCTCTTCCCCTCATCCCCTGTTTTATCCCGAGGAGTGACACGCCACGAGAGGCGAGCTCTACGACGGTCGCACGTCTCGAGAATTTCCAAATCACGCCGGTCTCGGTCATCCTCGACAACGCGGAGGGACCAGATACATCAGACATTGAAGGTGAAACAGTAAAACGTCATGCGGTATGGCAGAAACGCCAAAGAAAGACAAGAGCTTGCTTGCTTGCTACCTGGCTGTGTAACGATACATCGAATGACTACCGCGACCGCCCACTACAAAGATGCGTGTAATTACACGCTACGCTCGGGAAAGAAATGTTGAACATTTGGGTATCATGCCTGATGATATGATCAAACAAATGAAGATGTTGTAGCTCACGCCCGTCGTGCCGAAGGGATTGGCGGAGGGTCCACGAGCATCGCCTGCAGGCCACATTGCAGCATGCCCGCTCTCATCTTACGGGCATCGGTCGGCATATGTGCGCATCTGAAGGGAGAGCCATCTTGACTCAAGGTCATCCATCCCGACTGCCAGTACTGGAACTGCCATCCAGAATGACAATAGGGGATGAGGTCCCCATGGCGAGTGTGGGGGTGCCTCGTGCCAGCGTTCAAGATGACCCGTCCGTGGCCTCGAGAGCCGCCACGACGAGCCCAGACCCCTGGATGCGCGGAGGGCGTGGGGGGGGGCCATGCGCCCCGCTTCTGGCTGGTGCACCCCAGGATTTGGACGCCCGAGACGGGCACGGAAAAGGTGGGCACAATGCCCAACAACACATGCTGGCCATCGTTCGGACGTCCATTCCCTGTGTCTCATTCGGTTTCGTGCGTGGTCTGTTCGCCAGATGGTCGAGGATGCTCCTCGAAGGTCCTCGCCGAGAAAGAACATGCACACGTCCGAGCGATGCCAAGCATGTTGTCCCAGACCAACAGCGGCGGCTCTTGGGCAGGCGGCCTCCTGTCTCGGATATAGACACGGGCCGCGGCGGCGTGGACAGCGAGTCCTGTCCAGAACGAGCAGGAACTGCCGTTGGGCACTGCACCCGTTCTCCCCCTACCCGTGCCGCCCGTCCCGACCCAGGAGGGATGGGACCCTTTTCCTCCCGGCGACGCCACCAGGCAGCGGCGGCTCTTTCTCCCCCTCCTCCTCCTCCTCCTCCTTTCCCCCCCCCTCCTCCTCGTCCTCCTCCTCGTCCTCGTCCTCCTCCTCCTCCTCCTCCTCCTCCTCCTCCTCCTCCCCCTCCTCGGGGACGAGGCTGGTCTCTGGGGCCTCCGCCGCCGCCGCGGCCCGGGCGTCTCCCGTGCAGGTGGGGCGCGCTGTGCCCCGTCGCCGCCCTCGGCATCGGCGGCCCGAGGCCACGCCGCCCCCGCAGGAGCCACGCGCGGTCGTCGAACGCGTCGGCCTTCGAACACGTGGGCGTAGGTGACGACCTACCAGACCACCCCAGCCCAACCCGAAGATCCGAACTTCGAGTTGGGGGGGGGGGCATGGGCTCCACATGTTTTTTTTCCAACGTTCCCGGACCCCCCACCCGCGGGAAGTGGAGGGCAAATTGAGGCCTTCGAGTTGGGTTGGGGTGGTCTGGTGGGTGGTGAATAATAGGAGGCGGCGAGGACGTCGTCGGACGCGGCGCAGTGCAGCCGTGTTTGGGGCTCGTCGTGGTCGTCGAGCCCGAGCGTGGCGCCTGCTTCGGTCCGCCCCTGAAGCCAACCTTGCAATGGTGCGAATGACCGTCGGAGGCCAGCGTCGGAGTGGCCATCGTCGGACTCGTCGTCCGAGTCGGAGCCGAGCAAGACGGCAAAATCTTCAAGGGCGGTGAGGTAGGGCTCCATGGAGCCAGCCCTCGACAGCCGGGAGAGGCCCCCGAGCAGACGGCAGCCCGGCGTGAGGGACCCGTCGGGGCCGAGCCATTGTGAGGGTGCCCGAGAGGAGGGCCCGAGATGCGTCCGCCCCGCCTCGCACGCGAGCTCGCAGTCGTTGCGGCTTTGGCCCCGCTGGGAGCCCTCGGAACGCCTGCAGGAATGCAGGTTCTTCGGCCTACTCGTCGTCCAGCCACGTCGGGTGGCACCCAATGAATTCGAAATGCGCGAGGTCCTTCATCAGCTGGACCGTCAACAGGGAGAGCTCCGTCTGTATGTAGTGAGCATGCAATGCAAGTTGGATCCAGTCATCGTCAGGATGAAAGAGAGTCTACGCCATACCCCGCGGATTGACAAGGGTGGATCCAACAGAAGGTATCTGGATCACATTCGGCCACATCCGCAAAGCTAGACCGGGGCCGCACCCCATTGCCGTCGAACCTGTCTCGTCCACGATGAAAGGGATGTCCACCGCCGAATGGAGGGCCATTTGGATGAGGCAGAGCTTCATCAACCCCAGGGTTAGGTCGGGCATGCCCCCCTACAGGCGGATTTTGGGCGAAGAATCAAAAAAAAAGTCAAAAAATACACCCAAATAATCAGAAGTAGTCAAAAAAATCGTCCCCACACTACTTTTTGACTATTTCTGAACATTCCTCCTGTAGAGGGACAGGCCCGATTGAACCCCGAGGCCCTTAGGGAGAGCCGGAACGTGCAGCTCGGGCCTGCCGGCCGCGCTCGTCACCGTGGTCGGCCCGTGCAGCGTGGCCTCTTCCCCGCCGCCGCTGCGCGTGCAGAGCCCGCTCGGTCCCGCCCGTGCCGCGGGTCCTCCGCCTCCGAAGAGGAAGGGGGAGGCGAAGCGGAAGGGACGGCCAGGATGCCGGCCTGCTGGAGCGCGTCGGAGCCGAGGGCGCCCTGGATGCTGGGCGCCGCCGCCGCGGCGCCGTTGGCTGCATTCCGCTGCGGCGAGGCCGGTCCCCATCAGTCTCAACCAGGAGGGATACGGCTTCATTGGTCGCACCCTACGCTCGCAGCGCAGCTCCGAGGGACCGAACAGGCCGAGGGGGAGGAGGAGGAGGCACGACGGGGGGGAGGAGCAGCAAGAGACGGAAGCACTCTTACTTCGGGGCCCCGGGAGGGGGGGGCGTGCGGGGAGTGGGGGGCAACCGTCCGAGCGATTAACAGCGGGCTCTGGCGGGGAGGTGGGCGTCCAGCACCTGCAGAGACGCCGGCCGAGGGCTCAAAGGGGGGAGTTTGCCCACGACGACGGCGACGACGACGGCGGCTTCGGCAGGCGAAGCGCCATCAGGGTGTTTTCTGGGTGCAGGATGCAGGACATCGTGTTGTTGTCCACCAGGACCATCCTCGCTGCCGGAGGGGGGGGGAGCGGACAGGGGATGCGGACTAGAACGACGAGGAGCAGGGGCAGAAAAAGCATAATATGACAGAAGGAGCAGAAGACGGGCAAGAGGCCACCTCTCTGGCCCGTTGGTTACCCGATGCTAGGGAGAAGGGCGCTCACCACCACCACCACCTGCGACCTGCTGAACTTGCTAATGTGTGGTTTGTGGGCGCAGATGTGCAGGATGTCCCGCGAACGCGCCAGAGATAGCTGAGCCCCCCCTCCCCGTTCTGCCCCCCCTTCTGTTATGACCACGCCCCTCACGTCACCCCCATCAGGCTATCAGGGGCGTCCGCCCCATTCATTCGGCAACTCCCTCTTTAAAACCTGTCATCTGGCATCCTGGAACGTAGGCACCAGAATTGAACTTCACTGCCTCGCCACCATCACTGCCAGATCACAATCGCTGCTCCCTGTCCCAGTACACGCCGCGCTCCCGCACTGGCCCCGCTTCCACTTCCCTCCTGCACCACGTGCCGCTACTCCTCTCCTTTTCCTCCCCATCTCCCAGGAGATGTAGCGCTTGCGCTTGTGCAGGGGACTGGTCTCAGCATGCGAACGCTCCCGCCTGTTCCTCGCGCGCTGCTCGTGCGCCTCCTTCACCTCCACTACCTCCTGCTCGGACACGTCAGCCGCCTCGCCCTCTGGTGCTCTGTCCCCCCCCCCCCAATCCTTCTTTTCCTCGTCTTCCCACTCATCATGCTGCCACACTTGTCCCTCCCCCTCCTGATCCACCTTCACCCTCTCTTTGAAGAGCTCGAAGACTGATCCAAACTCGTTCTCAAACTCGAAGTCAAACTCATTATCCTGCTCCTCCTCTTCGTCTGTCCATATCCACATCGTCCTCTCCTCCTCCTCCTCCTCCTGCTCCTCCTCCTCCTCTTTCCTCCTCCTCCTCCTCCTCCTCCTCCTCCTCCTCCTCCTCCTCCTCTCGTGTCGCCCTACGCCTCATATCATAGTGCAGGAAATGTCGTTTCACCGAAAGTTCTCGTGAGTATGCGCCGACCAACATCCCCAACCTATAAATTCATCACTCGTCCTCCCAATCCTCCCCTTCTCCTTTCCTGTCCTTCCTTTTCATCCTCATCTCTCTCCCCTCGGCCCAATGATCATCCTCACCCCCTCCTCCCACGAAGGGGAGGCTGGAAGTAGGGCGGGAGGAGGGGCAGAGGGAGGAGGGGCAAGAAACAGGAGAGAGAGGGATGATCTATGCAGACATGCGCATGCTCGCCACCGCCACGCGGCAGCAGCACGGAGGGGGATCAGAGCGGCGCGCGCGACGGCGTTCGTGCATCGGGGTCCTCTGCAGGCTGCTGGCGCCGCCCCCTCCGCTGCACGCAACCTCTTCAGCGGCGGGGAGAGCCAGCTGACTGACCGACTGGCGGGCTCCTCCCCCTACCTCCGGCGGGTATATACAACACTAGAAACACGCCCGCGTTTCGCGCGCGCTTGGATTCTAGTCGAGGTGCCAACCATTGGCGACGCACGGAGTGAAACCTGGGGCCTATTGACATGATGGCTGCAGACCGCACCGAGGACCGAGAACCGATCGTCGAACCGAATTGCCCGAACTCCACTGACTGACGCGAGCCTGGAGCCCCAGCCCCACTCTCTTCCTCGTTATCTTCTTCCTCCTCGCCCTCGCCGACGTCCTCGCCCTCGCCGACGTCCTCGTCCTCGTCCTCGTCCCCGTCCTCCTCCTCCTCCTCCTCCTCCTCCTCCTCCTCCTCCTCCTCCTCCTCCTCCTCGGCCCCTGCTTCGCCCTGGACCCTGGCCCCCCGGACCCCTGGCCCCTGCAACCTCGTCCCCTGGACCCCTGGCCCCTGCACTCACGGCTGCTGGGCTCTGGGCCATTCCTCGGCCCTGGACCCTGAACTCTGGACCCCTCCCCCGCTCCTGGACGACGAAGACGCGGCGCTGGAGGGAAGGAGAAGTGGGGACGGGAGGGAGGGATGGAGGGCGGGGTGAGGCAAGGGGCAAGGGTGGGAAGGAGGGAGGGAGGCAGAGGAATTGGAGAAGAAATGAGAGAGGCAGGGACTGTCTCATCATCATCGTCACAAGCAGAGCCCTCATAATCATCGTCATGATCGTCGTCGCCAGCATAATCATCATCATCATCACCATCATCACCATCACCATCATCCTGACCATCACCATCACCATCACCATCACCATCACATCACCATCACCATCATCAACACCACCATCACCATCACCATCACCATCACCATCATCATCTTCATCCGCAGCATCGTCAACAGCATCATCATCACGATCATCATGATCATCATGACCATCATCAGCATCATCAACACCACCATCGTCATCATGGGGCGTCTTGAAACTCTTCGTGGCCTCCTGGGGACCAAGTTGGACTCACTGACATCCTGTTGGGGTATATCTTGGATCCTCTGGGGGACATCGTGAGGACCCAATCGGTTATCCAAACTGTTTCTTGGGCCGTCTTGGGCTCTCGTCTGAGCCAGGTGGGGAGATGATGGGGACGTTTTCAAGATGCGTGTCCGAGCTTCATGGAGGATTTGTGGTTGTGGGTCAGAGGCTTGTTGGGTGCCTGCTGGGGTCTCTTGGTATGGTTCTCGGGCGCCACTTGGAGTCGTTTTGAAGCCTCTCGGGGCCTCTTGGGGGCTGTTTGGGGACCTCTTGGGACCTCTTATGGGCCTCTTGGGGGCCCGCTGGCAGTCTGACGGTTCCACTTGGGACAAAGGGCTGGAAATATGACTTGGGGTTCCCCCTCTTGGGGCCATCTGGGGCCGTCTTGGGCGCCTCTTGAACCGTTTTGGGGCCTTCTGGGGCCGTTTTGGGGCTCTCTTGGGAGCCTCTTGGGCCATTTTGGGGCGATCTTTTGGGCCTCAGGGCCGTCTTGGGCGCTGGTTATATATATATATAACAATAATAATAATAATAATAATAATATGTTTTGTCTCTTTTTTTATTTATTATATCTAAAAAAAAAAAAAAAAAAAAAAAAAAAAAAAAAAAAAAAAAAAAAAAAAAAAAAAAAAAAAACGAAGAAGCGAACACGTTGAAAACGTACGTTGTCCGACGGGAATGGGGCAATGTTGGCAATACGAGGCGCTCTTGGGGAGCAACTTGGAGCCTTCTTGGGGCGGGTTGGGGCCTCTTGGAAGCTCTTCGGCCATCTGGGGGCAATTTCGGGCAGTCTGGCGGCCCCGCTCTCGTCGCTGAACTGCGCTCCCCGGAAAATGTTTTGGGGCGACCGGGGGGAGGCACGGGAAGCCCCCCTGGGGGTGTGCTAAAAAAGGGGGCGGGGGGAAACTCGGGAGAGGGAGGGGGAGGGAGGAGGAGGGAGGAGGGAGGGAGGAGGGAGGGAGGCGTCGGCGGCGAACCTCTGCAGGTACACGAGCCTGAACGCTGGCATTGAACGAGTTGGCCTGTCAGCTCAAGTGGCTAGAGTGCGCTATATTTAGCGGCGCTTTGCACGTGGGGGGGGGGGGGGGCTCGAACGCGCCTCGGCCAACCCAGCTCGGAGATATCCCTGGGGCCAGGCCGCGCTCAAACTCGACAAAATCGGGGTGGCCACTGACATTTTAGCAGGCGGCGGGGACCAAACCAAAGAGCGGGAGTTTTTTAAAGGCCCTAGGACACACCCAAAAGAGAAAAAAAGTTCGGACCCAAGGAGACACCAAGGGAAGACGAGTGGGACAGACAAGGTCGGCTAGCCATTCTCGGTGCTCCTGCGAGTTCCACTGGTTAAACGAAAGATGGCGTCATCAAGGGAGGAGGACGAGGTGAGGCGAGGACGACGAGTCGACGTCACCGACGAGGGAGGACCGAGGGAAAGAGAGGGGAGTGGCGGCGGGTCCCCGCCTGGAGCAGCGCGCTCGCGAGCGCCAGGGGCAGGGGCACGCGTGTGGGCACGCTCAGGAACTCGGGAACGAGTGCTCACGTTGTGCCCCTGGCCTCCTGCTCCTCTGACTCCAGTCTGCACTCCTGGATCTCGTCTAGCGCCAGCTGAAGGAGTCGCTCTTGATGGCTCTTGGGAGGTGTGCCCTTCTTCACCGTCGCACCGAGCTGCACCATCGCCGCGACTACCTCCTTCTGCACTCCTGTCCCGCTGGCCTCCAAGAAAATCTTCCTCGTGGACCTGCCGTGGGTGTAGGCCACCCTTCAGTACTTGACCTCGTTGGCCAGCGTGTCGTTCGTCCTGTCTGAGTCAGCCCTGATCTCGTCCGTGTAGGTCTTGCTCTTCGCCGCATTCTGAGCATCCACCTGTTCTCCCTGCTGCTGCATGGCCCCGACAATAGCTAGCCACAAGTGAGGATGCGGTACCCCTAACTTGTCGAGCTCTTCTACTCGGTGACCATCTTTCAGCTCCTGTCGATGCAGTTGTCGGAGACGCTGGGCCTCCTTCACGAAGTACTGTCCCGTCAGCTTCATGGCCATGCTGACCTCGTGATTGGCGATCAGGTGGATCACTGTGAACACCGTGGCCTCGATCGCAGAGATGTTCTGGCTGCTCTTGAGCGTGGCCCGAATAACGACGGGCATCAGCGCCTGGATCAGCCAGAGCGGCATGGCGCCCTCCTGTAGTCGCACCACGTCTTGACGAGAGAGTCCGTAGATGTTCTCTGCGCCGTCGAACATCGCGCCGAGGTTGAACAGGTGCTGAGGCTGAGGCTGCTGGCCTGGCGGGTGCTGCTGCCGCTGCTGGGGAGGGAGGAGGAGGGAGGAGGAAGGGAGGAGGGAGGGAGGAGGGAGGGAGGAGGGAGGGAGGAGGAGGGAGGAGGAGGGAGGAGGGAGTGTGCCGGCCCGGGGCTGGGGCCCCCGGTACCCAGGCATATGATAGAAGTGGCATGCGAGAAAACACGGGTGAGCAATCTCAAAATGATTGTTGTTGTTGTTGTTGCTGTTGGGGTGGTACATTCAATTATTTCTGGGTCCCGTGGACTCCCGTGGGCTTGGTCAGCCAACTGACCGCAGATGAGCTCCATCATGCCCCATCCCTGGCATTTTGAGGAGGGCTTTCCCGAGGCGCGCTCCTCGCACCACACCGTTCCCCCATCCTTCGGTGGCAACTCATGGGAGCCTCCCATACCATCTTGTCGGATCTTGCGAATCGACGCTAATCGACGCTGATCGACGCTACTGCACGCTGAAGACGGAACCATGGGGGTACACCACGCTCCCATGGTTTGCTACCGAACCATCCTGCTCCTGCTCCCGAGACCTTCCTCCTCCACGATTAAAAACCTCGATCCTCATCCCTCCCTCCTTGGGAAGCCAAGGCGACGCGAGGCGACGCGAGGCACGCAGCAACCTTGGTCAGGTCCTTGAGAACCCAGGGCGTCTTGGTCGGAGTGCAAGCCTCCTGAGAGGGAGGGTCCCACCCGTCGTCGTCGTCATCGTCCCTCCTCCTCCTCCTCCTCCTCCACAAGCTCGTCGCCGTCCACCTCCTCCACTTTTTTTTCCTCCTGAACCTCCCCTCGCCCTCTTCATCCTTCTCTTCCTCGCCCCAGTCGTTGGCCTCATCCTCCTCCTCCTGCTCCTTCTCCTCCTCCTCCTTCTCCTCCTGCTCGTCCTGGTGATTATGTTCGTGGTCCTCCTTTTCCTCTTCCTCTTCCTGGTCCTCTCCGCCTCCTTCTTCCCCTCATTCTGCTTGTCCTCCTACTCGTCTCCCTCACCCCTCGTCGTCGCCGTCCTCGTCCTCGTCGTCGTCCTCGTCCTCGTCCTCCTCCTCCTCCTCCTTTTCCTCATTCTCATCCTCCTCCGTCGACATTCGATAATCCTCCCCCTTCCACATCTCGTCGTCCTCCACCTCCTCATCCACCTCAGTGGTGTTTCGGGGCCATTGAGAAACTTCCGGAGGTGTGCCGACACTACCGGACAGTATTCGGGCAGTCCGTTGTGTCCGCAGGCTTCAGGGGGAACATGGGAGGAGGCGCGGGACCAAAAGTCGAGGGATTTGGGAGAATGAATGTGGGGCAACAGGAGCAACAGCAGCTCTTCGTGTTCTGTTCATGCTCACCTTCCTCATCCTCCTCATCCTCCTCCTCATCCTGCTCCTCCTCATCCTCCTCTTCCTCATCCTCCGCATACTCTTCGTGGTCTTTCCAACTATCCTATCGTTCCATATCCTTCCTTCTCCCCATCCGCCTTGCATTCCTCACCCTCCTCCCGGTCTTCCTCCTCCTCCTCTTCCTCCTGGTCCTCCTGGTCCTCCACCTCCTCCTCCTCCTCCTCCTCGTCCTCCTCCCCGTCACCACCATCAAACCATCAATCATGACTCATCATCATCAACAACATGATCGGTTTCATCACCGGCAATCAATCAACAATCACCAACCACGAATCGCAATCATCCACCATGCAACCTCATCACCATCAACAACCAACAATCAATCATCAATGGCCAATCATGAATCAACATCACCGGTCATCAATCGTTAATCAGCCACCACCCACCGTCAATCCTGAAGCATCGCCGCCATTACCATCATCAACCGTCAATCACCAACCATGGATCATCACGATCAACAAGCATCAACCTTCAACAACCGATCACGAAGGACGTGCTATCATCAGCATCGTCATAAACATCACTCATCAAGAACAAGTCAGCAAGCATGGGCCTTCACCCCCATCACCGATGATCCATCAGCAGTCACCAACCATCAATCATCACAATCATGGCAATCATATCCCATCATTCGTACTCATTTTGATGGTGACCACCATCACCAACCACCAATCATACGTGACAAACACCAAGCCTCATCATCAACCGTCAACCACCAATCACGAAACACGAACAATAAATCACCACCAACAACCACTCGCCATCATCAGCCACGATTCATCTATCACCAACCATTGCCGACCCTGATCAATCACCAACTACCAACCATCGAAGATCAATCACAACAATCATCAGCATCGCCATCAACATCACCCATACATCGTCCGAATGCGGGCCATGAAACATACTCATCATCACGATTACCAACCATCGAGCCTCAATCAACAAACACCACCACCAACCATAGACCATCCATTTCCGTCACCGACCAATCACCATCATCAATCGCTAACCACCAAATCGTTTACCATCTTCAACATCACCATCACCAATTATGAATCATGAACCATAAACTACCCCCATGACCCATCACCACTATCCCCATCACCAAGTCCAATTAAGCGATCGTGCGACATCCGCATCAATAACAATCCTCACCATGAAGCAGGTCTCATCAATGAACACTCACCAGCCACAAATCGCCACCGTCACCACAGAGGCCCGAGAGGCTAGAATCAATGGCGTTCCTCAGGTGTTTGAAGGACGTTGGCGTTCTCACCTTTGAGACGCGCCAAGAGCCTTCCCAAGAGGTCCCGATTGGCAAGAATTAATGGTTGCCCTGCGGTTTTTCGATGTGTCTGGGATTATCGTCTGCTCGAGCTTCCGACGCTCCAAGGCAAACCAAGAGGCTCCGTAGACCGCCCCAAAACTGCCCAAGAGGCCCCAATGAGGGCCCCAGGACGGCCCAAGAGGGTTCCAAGACGGCCGAAAGAGGAACAAAGACGGCCAAAGATCGCCTCAAGAGGGCCTCACGAGAGGCAAAGAGAGAGAGAGAGAGAGAATATACACGAACCAAACATCCTATATTTCCCCCCCCCTAGAGGCTCCCCCAAGTCCCCAAGACACCCCCAAGCGGCCCAAAAGAGGCCCTAAGAGACACAAAAGAGGTCCCCAAACGGGCCCAAAGACTCTTGGAAAGAGGTCCCCAAACGGGCCCCAAGACGCTTGAAACAGCTCCCAAGACGCAAGCACGAGTCCCCAAATCAAGCCCAAGAAACCCACGACGCCTCAACCGTGGTCTCCCCGCTTCTTTTGGGGATCGGCGGAAAAGCGCAAACCTCTTGAATAAATCACCAGTCATCAGTTATCAGGCTTCCGGCATCAACCATCAGTCATCAGTCGTCAATAGTCACGTTCCTCATCATCGCCACCACCACTATCATCATCATCATCATCATCATCATCATCATCATCATCATCATCATCACCACCATCACCACCACCATCGTCATCATCATCATCATCAGCAGCAGCATCATCATGGTCATCACCACAACCACCATCACCATCACCACCACCAGCATCATCAAAATCAGCATCATCATGCTCATCGTCATCGCCACAACCACTATCATCACCACCATCATCATTATCATCATCATCATCATCATCATCATCATCATCACCATCCTCACGACGACCATCATCATCACCATCATCATGATCATCATCAGTGTCATCATCATCAGTATCATCATCAACACCATCACCATCAAAAACACCATCACAATCACCATCGCCATCACCATCACCATCACCATCAGCATCACCATCAGCATCATCATCATCATCATCATCATCATCATCATCATCATCACCATCACCATCACCATCACCATCACCATCACCATCACCACCACCACCACCACCACCACCACCACCATCACCATCACCATCACCATCACCATCACCATCACCATCACCAGCATCAGCATCAGCATCAGCATCATCATCATCATCATCATCATCATCATCATCATCATCATCATCATCATCATCATCATCATCATCATCATCATCATCATCATCATCATCATCATCATCATCATCATCATCATCATCATCATCATCATCATCATCATCATCATCATCATCATCATCATCATCATCATCATCATCATCGTCATCATCACAAGCATCCCTGCCACTCGTCCTCGTCCTCGTCCTCCTCCTCCACATCGTCCCTTCCTCCCTCCCTCCCTCCCTCCGTCCCTCCCTCCCTCCCTCCTCCCCTCCTGCCCATGCGTGAATAGATTTTGGCGTTCGCGCGGCCGCCTCCGTCCACGCAAGGAGCCAGTGCGTCTCGTCGGCCGGGGGCCCCCGAAAAAGGGGAGCGAAGGGGAACGGAGGGAGGACGAGGCAGGACAGGCTCCGACACCGCTCCGTGCGCAAGCGGGGAGCGCGATGGCGTGGGGCGGTAGCCCCCTCATATGTGCAGCTTGCCAATCCAACGTCGCCGTGGCGATTGCTTTGAGAGCTCTTTGGACCACGGGGGAGGAATGAAGGGCGGAGGTAGTGAGGGGACGAACGTGAGGGGGCTCGAGGGGGGGCTGGCTCAGGGGGGATAGACCCCCGACAGCAAAACCGCACGTTCCTGGGCAGGGTGACGGGCCCAGGCGACGACTGGGCGATCGGGGATCAATGCTTCAGCCCCTGCGCCAGTGCCCTCCCGTGGTCGCCCCTGAGACCGTCCGACAGGCTGTTCAATTCTGTTTGAAGCGAAGTGAGTAATAACCTCCGCGAATCTGCATTGGCCACGGGGCTGGGGCAAGCAAACGCAAACCCGTGACAACTACTGCCCGGGAATACGGGCGTCGATAGGCAACGGATCTATCCAGAAAGGCTGTTCCTTAAACACCATCATCGGGTTTGCGCAGTGTCTGCACACCATCCTAACCCTGCATACACATTCCCACGCAATGCGAAGGGGGGCCAACAGTCACCCACAAGGGGGTCACCATAGCCTCCAGAGAACATCAGGAAACGAATCCACCTGGACCTGGACGCCCCAGAAAACCCCCCAGGGCTCCAAAAGACTGCCAGCAACCTCTCGATCATTTGATCCTGCCTCCTCCTCCTCTTCCTCCTCCTCCTCCTCCTCCTCCTCCTCCGCCTCCTCTTCCTCCTCCTCCTCCTCCGCCTCCTTCTCCTCATCGATCCCCAATTTCCCAAAAGAAATGGTGATCCCTCTTGGCAGGGCATCGCCCCGCACCACCTGGCAGCCGTTTCCGGAGCGAAGCACGTCCGCGACGACCGAACCGGCCACAAGACTTCGCGCGGGGACTCCCTGGGGAGACCACCGTCCTGGTCGGGCGCACCCTCCCGGCGCGGGCGTCGTCCTTGGACAGAACGCGGTCGGAGAAAATGTCCTTCTCGGGGTCCAGCTGCCGCCCGCGGCGACCCGGGAAGGCCGGGGTGGGAAGATGGAGGGGGAGGAGGCTGGGGACGAGGAGATAGGAGAAGGACGGAGGAGGAGACAGGAGGGACAACCAAGGTGGAGGAGGGAGGTTGAGGGGACGAGGGGGCGGGGGGGCGGGGGCGAAACGTTCCAAGGGCACGTCCGACAGCACGAGGCCAAGAGGAAGGGAAGAACTGCTGAGGGGATGGAGGAGGAAGGCTGGAGGAGGAGGAGGAGGAAGAGGAGAAACACACAGGTGTTTGAAAGTGCCCGGTTAGTTCGGCAAGTGTTGTTGACCTTCGATGGCCTCGGGACTTCCAGGGACCTCCAGATGACCCTGGCAGTGTGGGTGGAGAAAGGTGATATAGGAGGGTCCTGAACGGCTGGCAGTCCCGGTGGCTCAAGAGACAAGCACAACGCAGGATGCATCCCACAAGAAATTATAAGTAAAACGCACCGACATCGGTGCTACCCTCGAGAGAAAATCGACAGCGTGGTTGCTAACATCCGCGTGGGAGGAGTGATGCAAAATGTTGGGCAAAGCGGACCGTTAACACACGAGCAATATCACCACATCAATCGAATCCGCCGAGAAATTCGAAGGAGGGGCCAGGAATACCGAGGGAACGAAAAGAAGGTAAATATCGACGATTACGGGCGAAGGGGAACACCATGGTACCCAGACTGTTCCCACGGAGCAACCAGTGGAGAGCGCAAGGCAAATGTGGTCGTGTAGTGCGCAGCGGCAGGTTTTTCCTATATTTGTTCGACCCTCTGTAAGCTCTCGACGTTACCCCCTGTCAGGTCATTCCTATCCGCAACGGCGGGGGCTGAGGTTTTTGTTTTTGTTGTTTGCAAGGCGCGTAAGCGGCCTAAACAGAAGTTAGAGGAGGGGGATGCACTGAAACAGATCGTTGCACGATGGGGAAGGGTAGGTAAGCGGCATCTGCGCGCGTCCCCAAAAAGACCCGACGAACGGGTGCGCAACCGGGAGCTAAGGCAATCTGGCTCGGTCACAGCGTGGGTGGGGTGGGGTTGGGGGGGATGGGGGGGGTGGGGGGGCAAACGTCAAAAATCGGCACCAACAAAACACAGCCCAACACTACGAAGGAAGAACACAACTGACGCTCGTCAACGCGCGAGGACGAATACTTTGAGGCTGCTAGGAGAAAGACTCGGAACTAATCCGATGGCCTGTAAAGGTACACGAGGCAACGATGCAAAGCAGCGCCCCAACACCACCTTGAAACTGTCCCAGCATCTTTGAAGACGTCCCCCGGCACTGTTTCGAACGTCATCACAAGGGGTGTCGCGTGCGACATTGGATGATGGCGATGATGGTGATGTGCATGATGACGGCGGTGATGTGATGGTGATGGTGATGGTGATGGAGATGATGATAATGATGATGCTGATGATGGTGAGTATGGTGATGACAAAGAGCAACATGATGATTGGAAAGAGCGTGATCCACCGCCGCTTTATTGTGGAAAATTCCCCCCCCTCCTCCAGAACCCGGGGGTCCTCCCCCTTCTGAAAATCCCCCCCTCCCTGCTGGGCCCCCCCCCCTCCCCCCCCAGAACCCCCTCCCCCCCTCCCCCAACCCCTCCCCCCCTCACCCTCGAAAGCCGTGGAAGGTCACTACCGGTTCGAACCCCCACACCCCTCGAAAACCGCAGGGAGGGGGGGGCACTACCGGTTCGAACCCCTCCCCCCACCCCTCACCGCCAGCAAACGACCCCCGGTCCCTACCACCGTCCGCGCCACATCCCCCCCTGTTGTTCCCAGCGCCACTGTCCTCACCACCGGTCCCCACTGATTCCACCACCGTCCCTACTATCCCCACCAGTGCCCCCACCACTGTCGCACTCTCCCCACTGTCCCCACCACTGTTCCCACCACGGCTCCACTCTCCCCACTTTCTCCACGGCCCCAACCACTGCCCGACTATCCCCATTGCCCCCATTGTTCCACTGACTCCTCCGCTGCCCCACTGAGCTGTCCCACTGTTCCCACCACTGTCCCCACTGTTCCCACCACTGCCCCCACAGTACCTCTGTCCCATTGTCCCACCGCGGTCCTCACCACCGCCTTCACCACTGTCCCCACCACCACTGTACCCTCCAGTGTCCCACTGTTTCCACCACATTCCCACTGTCCCCACACCACTGTCCCCACCACCGTCGTCCCCACCAGTGGCCCACTGTCCCCACTGTTCCCACCATTGTCCTCACCACTGTCCCCACCGCTGCCGTCCCTGCCTTTGTCCCACTGTCCCCACCACTGTCCCGCTGTCCCCTCACCACTGTCCCCACCACAACCGCCCCCACCACTGTCCGCACCCCCCCCCCCCTGGGTTTTCGATGGGGGGGGGGATCGAACCAGTAGTGACCCCCCCCCGCTTTCGAAGGGGAGGGGGGTTCGAACCGGTAATGACCCCCCCCTTTTCACGATGGACTGGGGGGGGGGGAAGGGTTCGAACCGGCAGTGACCCCCCCCGGTTTTACGGATGAGGGGGGGAAAGGGGTTCGAACCTGTAGTGACCCCCCTGGTTTTTCGTTAGCAGCGGTAGAACACGCTCTTTCGATGAGTGTGATGTTGGTGATTTTTGTTGCAACAATGGCAATGGCAGGCGACAGCCAACGCATTGAGCCCACGCTGGTCCAATGTCAGCTAGAGAGCACAATTAAGTGGTCTTTGAATTCGATCGAACGCGTTACCTGCGCGAGGCTTCTGGCGCCATGGAAGCCAAACCACCGCCTCGGGTGGGCGCTAATGGAGACAACGAGCAAGCAGCAGCAGCAGCAGCAGCAGCAGCAGCAGCAGCAGCAGCAGCAGGGAGGACAGGGAGGGCCGATCGATCGGTAAAGGACGTTACTCGCCAATAAGCTTGCCACTCGAGTTATCTCGGGGCGGCTGGCGAGGACATGCTGCGGCGGCGGGCGGGCGCGGCGCCTTAAACTTGACCCGACCTCGCGCGCGAGCGAAGGCAGCGCTGATAGCGACGAACCAACAAGGGATGACTCAGCTTAGTCATCGGCTGAGCTGCAGTAGAGGGCGCAGGACCGCTTTCCCGAGTCGGCGACGGGGCCCGCGTTCCAACGCGGCCCGTGGCGGCGCACGCGACCGAATATTCCATCCAAGAACAGAAGGACCAAAACTCGTCCAGAAGCAGTGCAAGGTCGGGAACCGAGGGGCTCAACCTTAAACAACAACTGCTTTTCAAAACGAAGAACGACGAATGAGGGTGAAAGACCGGCGGCGTTCCCGCGTTCGCGACCTGCTGGAGACAGGAAGAGGCCGTGGAGGACACGCTCCGGAGGAAGACGCGAGGCCCACGGGCGGCCCCAGGGTCGGACGAGCTGCTGGGGAGGCCCCGCGCACGGGGAGCGGGAATCGGCAACGGGGGGGAAAGCTCCCCTGGCGGCCGCAGCAGGACGCGGCGGGAGGGGGCAGCTTCGCCCTGGAACCTGTTTTCCCAATGTCAACCTCAGCGAACGGAAGCAAGCAATCCGCGACTGCCGCGACACCCAGCGGACGCATCAATTGCGGTCGATGCGAGCATGCCCCGCGACTGCGGTTCCGACAGCGGCGAGCCCCCCGCGGGGGGCGGCCCTCTCCTCCGACGCGAAGCGACGAAGGCGACTGTCTCGGCTTTCTATTGGGGCGGTTTCCTCCTGGGAGCCGCGCGCGGGCGCCGCGTGGCCGAGGGCGCGCCGCTCGCAACTGCGCCGCGCGCGGCGCCTAGTTCGCTGGCCACCCCCGCAACTGCGGCCTTGGCGGCGGCTCGCGCAACTCCGGGGGCCCGCGGGCGCTGCGCAACTGCGCCTGCTGGCGCCCCCGAACACTCCGAGACCGCTCGCGCGACTGCGTTTCGCGGGACCGCGCGCTCAGCGGCGGCGGCGGCCGCCGCCGTCGCGCGGGGCTAGACAGCTCCGATGGCGTTGCGGTCGTCCCCGGACTGCGCCGCTAGCTCCTCGCGCCGCTCCTGCAGGCGGCGCTTCAGCCCGCGGACGTTGCGACCGAAATCGGCCTTCTGGCCTGGCCCCGCCTGGGCGAGGGCTGGCGACGGGGGGGAGTGGACGAGGAGGGAGAGGATAGCGCGAGGAGCTCAAACGAAGGGAAAAGGAGGAAAGGGGGGTGCGACGACGACGACGGCGCAAGGGCGGAGGAGGAGAAATCACGGAAGTCCGCAACTGCAGCCAACGGACGGGGCCTGCGACGAGGACGACGGGACAGTACTAGGCCCACGGAGAAGACTGCGGCCAAAAGAAGGGTACGCGGCGAGAGGGAAATGCGGAGGGGGGGCCGCAACGAGAGCGACGGGGAAGGGGCGACGACGACGACGACGACAGACAATCGCGGATCCACCTTTTCGCCCGTCTCCGCAACTGCGGCCGCGCCAAAAAACTAATCCGAACCTCAAGGCCGCGCAGCGCTGCCCATCGCTGCCGGACCAGTCCGCCCTGGAGCTTCTGAACTCCAACTTGAAAATGAGCGCTCGTTCGCCCTCTGAGCAACTGATTTGTATTTTTCGTTGTATACATAACTAAAGACATCCCCTGGAGGAATGTGTTTTCCTCTTGGGTCCGGAACGACGGATTGAAGTCATGAACAGACGCGCGTGAGATAACCGCCGTCGGACCCCGTGATATTCGCGCGTGTCCAATTGTGGCTTTGGCGTCTGCTTCCGTGGATCCGATTTCCGTCCGCGCGGATCCGATTTCGGATTAGCTGGATCCGTCTTCGGTCTTCTTTTCTACGGCGGATCCGATTTTACCCCGTTTGAAAAGTATACGATAAAAGCGGGAAGCTGGGAGAAATCGGATGCGCGGACCCCGGAAAGCGCCCGCGTTAAGATTATTCGGGGGGAGGGGGTTCGGTCATCACCTTCCAACTCATCACGGCCAGTTGCACGTCAAGACGAAAAATCTTTCGTCCTGCGTAAGTGCATACAACATAAAAAAGTAGACAGATAGACGGAGAAAAAAACGCAACTGCGCCCTGGAGGAGGCGGAAGGCCTCCCCCCGTGCCCGCCGCTGTTGCGGGCGCGGACTCCGCGGCAGGAGCGCCGTCCCAGGTACTCGAAAACCCACCTTCACATGCGCTGGATCGGCCACCTTCCCATGCGCTCGAGCCCGCCACCGGCCTTCTTTCCTTCCGCCTCAACGGTCCTGTCCTCCACCGTCGCCGCCCCGTCCGCCGGCGCCCTCCCATCCGCGACGGTTGCCTTGCCAACCTCTGCCGCCGCACTCCTGTCCGCGACTGCGGCCATTTCCGCCGCCCCCACCCCATCCTTCGCCTTGCCAGCCGCCGACGTTGTTATCTCTGCGGTACCATCTGCCACTGCGGTCAGCTTCGCCGCCGTGGTCGCCCAAACTTCCGCCAGCTCCCCAACCGCCGCCCTTGTTCCCTGGAGACACCGCAACTGCGGACCTTGTCTCTTGTGCCGCCTTGGCACCCCATCCTGCATCCATTTGTCCCGGCTGGAGGCTGCAGTGGCGCAGGCACGAACCCGCCCGACCGCCGTCGAACCTGCCGTCGGCGCGGGCTTGGGCCGAACGTGGATGGAGGAGGACGGGGAGGAGGAAGAGGAAAAATAGGAGCAGGATGCAAGTGAGGAGGATGAGGCGTTCGTGGGACGGGTCGAAAAATCACTTTTCCAGGGCGGCCCCCCCGCGACCGCTTTCTCGCAGCGGAAGGGGGCGGTGGCCAGAACGCGCCCCAGTGCCCAGAGAGGTGGTCAGAACGCGCTCCGCCAGAGCGCACCCCCCGTGACTTCCCCGCGGCGGTGGGGGGCGCTCCAGAGCCCAGGGAGGGATCTACAACGCGCCCGATCCAGGATGCCACCCCGTGACCGCTACTCGCGGCAAGGGGGGCGCCCTGGAAGAGCGAGCGTCGTCGTTTGCGGCGGCGACGGCGGCGACGGCGAGGGGGAGGAGGAGGAGGACATGCATGTACTTTGAAACGTGTATATCTTTATACGTATGCACATGCATTTGCGCTGAAATGTGCATATACATATAACATATGCATGTACAAATACGTATACGTGTACATCTAACATGTATATACATATACACAAACACGTGCACATACATAAGGATATGCATCTGCTTATGGACTTACATCTACATATACATACGCATAACAATTGCTGAACGCGCGAGGGGGGGAGACCCGAACCAGTTTTTTTCACCACGCCCAGATCGCGGTGTCTGAATTCCTGGGGCGGCGGGGGGAACGTAAAAATACATGATAATCACGTCCCCGAGGCCATGATGTTTCATCCATTACTCCCTATTCGCGTCCCCGAGACCATATTCCCTTGACATTACTCAACTGTCGCGTCCTTGTGAGCCATAATGTCCTAGTAAATCAATCGATATTCGCGTCCCCTAAGCCATAAAACCTAGTAAATTACGTAGTGCTCGCGCCCCCAAAACCATACACACACATAAAATAAAAGATTCGCGTCCGCGACGCCATACACCCTCGTAAAGTATACAGGTGTCGCATTCTCGAGGCCATAAACCCTCGTAAAATACACAATACTTGCGTCCTCGAGGCCATAAGCCCCAGTAAATTACGCAATGCTTGCGTCCCCGACGCCATAAACACTTTTGAATTATGCAATGTTCGCGTCCCCGAGGCCACAAACCCTTGCAAATTATACAATATTCGCGCCTTCGAAAGCCATAAGCCATCGTAAATTACGCTACCTTCGCGTCCCCGAAGCCATACAACGTCGTAAAGTACGCAATAGTTGCGTCCTCGAGGCCATAAGCACTCGTAACTTACCCAGTATTCGCGTCCCCGAAACCATCAACCTTCGTGAATTACGCGATGCTCGCATCCCCGAAGCCACAAAACATTGAAAATTATCCCATATTCATAGTTGTGAGATGTTCCACAGTTTGTGACGTCCCAACATTGCTTCACGCCAGCGCCCAGACATCCGAACACAGCTCTGGCAAGTCCCTTTCTAAGAGAGGGGGGCCGGCGGCATAGGGGTGAAGCCCTTACGGATTTCCGCATCGTTCAAAGCAATGCCAGGGGACTGCTTTGAACGATGCGCGTTGTTTAAAGCAGTGCCCCGGCACTGTGTTCAACGAGTAATTGATCAGGACAGTCGGACTGATCAACGCTGCCCAACCGACACCTGGGGGGCACAAGAACCTGATGGGGCGAATCACACCCCACAACCGATGCTGCTGCAACGGGGGGAGGCGGGCAACAAACGTGCCGAACGTGGGTGAAGCAAGGTTGCCTTCAAGCGGCCCCCTAAACTGGCCCCCTGTCTTCAGAGGGTGCTGGAAAGGCGCGCCTCTCTTAGCACCTCCGTCTACGTCGTGCTGTCTGCCCGACCCCGACCGACTGCGAATTCACAATACATATGTTCGCGTGCGTCGTAGAAGCGGTAACTCATGTTAGGTCGGGCCTGTCCCCTACAGGGGGATTTTCGACGAAAAATTAAAAATACTCCCAACATACTCCAACATTATCAACAAATACTCAAAACATGATCCCCATACAATTCTTTTACTACTTTTGAACATTTCCCCTGTAGAGGGACAGGCCCGACTTAAAACTAATGCGGCGGCGGTTGGGCGCATCGGTGGCGACGACAACAACGACGAATGCGCAGCAGTCGAAAGCTGGAAGGGCTGCGCGCCTCCCTCGCTGCATCGAGCCGAGCGTGTGTCCACTTATCTGAAGGGGCCCTCGGACACACACACACACACACACAAAAAAAAAAAACATGATACCGGAGAAAACACCCTATAAGATTGTTGTTGGGGCTATGGGGCTATGGGGCTATAGGCCTATATCTCTATGGGGCTATGGGGCTGTAGGGCTATATGGGCTATCTGGCTATTGGGGTATTGTGCTATGGGGCTATTGGGCTATAGGACTATAGGGCTATGGGGCTATAGAACTATAGGACTGTAGAGCTATAGGGCTATAGGGCTAGAAGGCTCTAGAGCTATAGGGCTCTAGGGCTATAGGGCCATGGAGCTATAGGGTTATAGGGCTATATGGCTATAGGGCTATATGGGCTACATGGGCTACATGGGCTATTGGGCTATAGAGCTATAATGCTATAGGGCTATATGGCTATAGGGTACCCGGGCGCCCCCAGGCACCTCTGGGCACCCCCGAGCACCCGGGCGCCCGGGCACCCACGGGCACCCGGGCACCCGGCCACCGAAATCGGGCACCCGGGCACCCCCGTGCACCCCCGTGCACCCGGGCACCTGGCCACCGGCCACCAAATCGGTGCCCCATGGTCACCTACCATATGAATCCGCTAGGACCCCTACAAAGGCAAGCTCTGATTGGGGAACAAAAAGAATATTCCCCATATTTTCCCATATTTGGGGGGTTTTCGTGTTCCCCCCCACTTCCCATATTTTCTTGCGAATCGACGTTCACTTGTGTCTGTGTATTTCGTATTTCTTTCCCTCCTGATTATCGCTCTAAGTCCCTCGGCGATCTGGCTCCCATGCAGACGCATTAATCCAAAAACACCTGCTCGAGGCGCGCCTACATGAGCTAAACTTCTTGTCGGCAACAGCTCGAATCACCAGGTTTCCAGATGCTTGCCACAAGTAAATGCGCATCATAATGAGGCAAACAGCTGTCGTGCAGCTGGCGATGCGATGCGCGAGGTCAGGGGAGCCAATTAGTACCCGAGGCGCCTCAGGGGGACATGGACCCCCTCCCGCAGCTCCCTACGCTGGATCTGCGCGGCAGCGCGCATGAACATATTAACGAGAACTGGGAGAACGACGACAACAGAGGAGGGATGAGAAGAACGACAACGACGACAAGGGAAGACGACGGAAAACGCAGACGCGGTAAGACAACGGACGACGAAGACGACGACTGAACACGACAGAACACGAAACAAGACGACGATGACGACGTCGTCGACGACAGCGTCCGGACATCTCTGCAAGCGCAGAGCAAAGCCAGAGGCAGCAGCAACAACAAAAGCACTCGATCCTCGAACCTCGACGGCCAACGACGACACGCGCTGCAAAACCGAGAGCAGCACAACCACTCCGTCATCGAACCTCGACGGACGACGACGCCGACGCCGACGACGTCGGCGACCTCCGCGAGGACCGCGGTCACGTACGCGCTGTGCCCCTGAGCGAACAGCCACGGGCC